CGTAACAGATTTAATGTTTAGTATAGAGCTTAGAAAAAATTCGCAGTGTGAGATAGGCAAGAAGTAAGGCATGTAGCAACATCAGCACGGCAAAGGGCACTCCTTTAAAGGCAAAGAAGGGCAAAAATATTTTAAGTCAAGTGATAGCGATTGCTGTATGAGTCGTACGATTTTTGAATCAAGCATGGGCAAAGCCAGGCCATGCTGCTAGTATATATATATATACTATTGAAGGTTGAAGACCCCAAGGCAAAATGTTTTGATAAAAATAACTTAGATGAGGATATTACTTGTATTGAGTCATTGTATAATGACTTTTCTTTTCTGGATGAGGAGTTATTATTATTTACACTATTTGCATTCAGATTGTTGTTATCAAAATGTTTCAGCCTTTTTGCCCTCTAGCCTTCATCAGGTGTATATAGAACTATAAATCTACAGAGAAGTCTGAACTGAATCCTTGGTGTAGACTGTTCTCATTCTACTGCTCATGTCTAGGGATATCTCATCTAGTTCTTATTTTTACTGCTCAGATATTGCTCATCCTGTTTCCACTGAGTTCAATATATCCTACCCAGCCTCATAATTACTATGTGTTCAAATTCATGAATCAACACTTTAATCCACTAGGCTATTGTCCCGTAAATTTATTAAAGAGTTTGGAATTTTCTGTTGGCTATCCAGATCGAGATACTCAACATTGGAGAGCACAATGGCTGAAACATTGTGATAAAGTGGAGGACAATAGTCCAAATGTATTGATTGTTTCATTTCTCACCCTATCAACTCTTTGCAGGTTATTTAAAGCCAGAAAATATTTTTAGATTGTAAGAATATTATTGTTGTTATCACAATGTTTCGGCCCTTTGTGCCCTCTAGCCTTCATCAGGTGTATATAGATCTATAAATCTACAGAGAATTCTGAACTGAACCCTCTATTTAATCTATGGGTGTAGGTTGTCCTCGTTCCTCTGGAATCTCCTAGGGATATCTCATTTAGTTCTTATATTTAGTATTGCTCAGTTATTGTTCATCCTGTTTTCTTGGATTCCAAGTAGATACATTTTTTTTGTTTTTTTTATGGAGTGTTTTCAGAGTGGAGGCTTGTATTTGTACTAAGTCAGTTCTAAAATATGTACAAAACGTTAGGAACTTCATATAACAGGTATGATGCAGAGTAATCTAGTTGTGGTCGCTGATACTTTAGTATCCAACTAACGGTCGTCCGGCCTCGACTGAGTGACTAACTCCTCGTTACTCTTACTACTCCTACATATTATAGGTGAGAGAGTCTATTAACTATAGAATAGGTGTGTTCCACTATAGTTTTATAAACAAAAGTGTTTGCTCTATTAAAATTTATTTTTTCTTATTTTCAGTAATCACTTTATTGAACAACAAATTTACTTGTACCCTTCAGCCTTCTTCAGATGCCTGCCAATCTGAGTAATCATCAGGGAATGTCAAACTGAATCCTTTATATAATCTACAGAGACATATCGTTCTCATTTGCTCTTCATGTTAAAGGATATGTCATTCTTATTTAGTACTGTTCAGTTATTGCTTGCGCCATTTCCACCAAATCTATGTTTAAACTACTCCACCCAGAGACTGAACTTCCCTAGCAGCAAACCTAGCAATGGATTCAATATAATCTTCCCAATTCATGTCAGTGAAAAACATTAGCCTGAGAGGGTGCAAGGAATCACTCTCCTGGAGGCTAGCATCAGCCATACTGACAGAAGACAAAAAAGGTTCTCGAAGAGAAAGAGAGGTTTCATTTTGAAGGTGTTAAAATTAACAAATTAACAAGTCATTTCTTGCCCCTGTTAATTAGATTATCGTGTGTGATATCGAATTGGGACGAATTTATTGAGACTCATTTTGACATTAGCATACCAAATAAAAGAATAAGACCCCAAAGACATTATTTACAGACAGAATTACTTAATGCTAATCAATAAGGATAAAAATATAACTATAGGTATGATCACATGGTGATATGAAACATTTAATGTCCACATAGTGAAAGAGAACAAGGATAAGTGGGTTATACAGAGGATCTACAGTGCCAAACACTTTCCTTTCTTTTTTTGTAACTCTGAGAGAACAGAAGTCAATTCTCTCTGATAAGTTGACAACTGAGACAACGTCATTATCCATTTACGCTGCAAATGGGCAGGTTCTGAAAGGCATGAAACAAGAGAAGCCAATTTTGGGGAGAACAGTGAGGATAAAAATGTATCGTTAAAGAATGGAACCATCTTTTTTCTTACTGTAAATGCTCTTCCCAAAAGAGAACTTATGATCAAAATATGTGGGACAAACTCGCAGGATGTTTATTACTGTAAATTGGTGAGATAATTATTGCAATAATGAGGAAATATAATGAAAACAAGTTATAAATTTCAAGAAAAAAATTAACTCATTTGATTTAGAATGACTCATTTATAAATAGTAAATTGTCTGGTCAAAACTCAGTCATTAATATCATTTAGGAATTTGTCATATCTGACATTAAATTATTAATAACCCAAAATTACTCTCTGCTCTGTGAATGCATTTTGTACATTTATGATTCAGGAGGCATGGTGGGAGTAATCAATAGTGGCTCGGATTGAGGAATTGGAGAGCAGGGTTCAAATTCCAGGCCTTGGATGAAAAAAAAAATCTGCCACGTCAGTCATGTATCGAAAGATACATGATCACCTAAGCATGTATCACACATCACATAACTGACTGACTCATAATTCTTGTTACTGAAAAACATTCCCAAAATCTCAAAAGACACTTGCACACTGTTTAAAAATCAATGTCCAGATTAGTCAATAGTTTCAACATGTTATTCACATCATCTACTGATTATACGGGACGCATGGTGTAGTAACGGATAGAGGCTTGGATTAAGGAATAAGTGAGTCAAGTTCAAATTCCAGTTGAATCCATTACATTCACTTACATGCTAATACCCTTGGGAAAGATATGAATACTCTTCTTCTTCCCACCAGCTATGGGTAAATAGCAGGACAGACTGGGTTCTATAGCCTTGGATGGTAACTGGTCTACCGCGGGAAAAAATGGCAACCTACTGTGGGAAAAAAATCTGCCTCGTCAGTAATCAAAAGATTTATTTGAGGAGGCATGGTGGAGTAATGGATAGCGGTTCAAATTGAGGAATAGGAGAGCCAAGTTTGAATTCCAGTTGAATCCATTACATTCACTTACATGCGAATACCCTTGAGAAAGATATGAATCATCTTCTCCCCACCAGCTATGGGTAAATAGCTGGACAGACTGGGTTCTATAACCTTGGATGGCAACTGGTCTACTGTGGGAAAAAATGCCTCGTCAGTCATGTATCAAAAGATACATGATCGCCTAAACATGTATCACACATGGTACATAACTGACTGACTAACTACTGATTGCATTTGCACCATTTTAATTATGTTTGCTACGTAATTCCTAACGAACAGGCTTTGGTTCTGTGCAGCCATTATAAATGCCTCTGTCTCTATCTTTAAACCTGTACTTTTCAGCCACTAAAGTGTTTTATATTTATCTACATCATCATTGTTACTTCTGAGTATATATTACTCATACCAAGGTTTTGTTCCAAGATGTTTTTTAAATTGTTTAACCATTATTATTATTATTATTATTATTATTTAACATTGGCAAACTGTTTTATCATTTCTTTTTTTTTTTAAATTGTGCTCTTGTAAGTGTTGAAAGATATTGGAAGATTTACATCAATCATTTCATAGATTATTATTCTTATTAATAATAATATTTCCTGCAAGAAATATGGATTTTGTGGATATAACTCTATTCTTTTTATTTTGATTTGTGTACACATCCTGCGAGAGTGTAGAAACTGTCAAGGAGTAAAATTTGAGTTTTGTGTTTGGCTATGTTTTATGAAAAGAATTCATGAATTATTGCACCACCATAATAAAAACAAATTATTACATCTATATAATATAAACATTATTGTATCTCCACAAAAAATTATAACATATCTATAATAATAAAAGAGTTGCTATAATAAAAAAGCAAATTATTGCATTGCTATAATAAAAACAAATTATTATATATTTATAATAAAAAATTATTGTATTTGCTATAATAAAAAAAATATTACAGCTCTATAATAAAAACAAATTATTACATCTCTATAATAAAAAAAATTATCTGTTTATATTTCTGAGATGAGGTATTATGTACACTATTTACATTGCTTGGACTATCATCTTCATCTTTGTTGCCATATTTTTCACAACATTTCGGCCTTCTTGGTTGGAATGTCGAACTGAACCCTTTATTTTGGGGTAGACTATTTCTACATGATTCTGTTAATTTCCCTCTCCAAGTTCTCCACTGCCTTAACCAGGTATTGAACTCACACTCTTTGGATCCTGTCACTGGATATAACTTACACCTTTATCCATTGTGCCAGGTATCTTTGAGGACATCTGTGTATGAATTTCTGGGTATTATAAGCCTAATGTCTTCAGCAAACATTTTTTACCAGTCCTCATATTGTAATTTTTGCTGTTGTCAGTGCATGATTTTTAGCAGAGCTCATATTGACATTTTCATTGTTATTGCTTTTCTCTGGCACTTCTTATTAATGGTTCCCATATTGTATTCATTTCTATGCTTGGTCAGCTCAGGAGATTTTTGTGGCCTTGCGAAATAAAGGGTTCAGTTTGACATTCCAACCACCTGAAGAAGGTCGGAGCATACAATGACCCAAACGTGATAAATATGGCAACAAAGATAAGGATGATAGTTCAAGTAATGTAAAAAAAATTATTGTAGCCCTGTAATAAAAACAAATTGTTACATCCCTATAAAAAAATACATTATTGGATCACTAAAATAAAAACTATTGCATCACTATAATAAAAACAAATTATTGAATTACTATAATAAAAACAAATTATTACATCTCTATAATAAAAAGAGATTATTGCACAACTATAATAAAACACTACCTGTGTTGTCATCAGTATGCTCTGATTTTTCAGATGTCATAGCATAAATCTCGCTTCGAGTTGCCAACTGTGGACGTGCTGGGAGCTGGGGGGGTAAGCATCTGAGCTGGGAAGATCCTGAATCCCGGAGAGAAGAACTCTGTACAAGGGGATCCGAAACAGTTTCCTTCCGTGGTGGTAAGGGCGGCTTTCTTGGCTGAGGTGAAGAGGCTTCTTCAGAGGATGCATCATCTGCATTGCCACAGTGTATCACTCGGATGATAGGTTCCACCGACTGGGGACTCTCTTCAGACGTTTGGGTAACAGGGATTTCATACAAATCTGCCTCTTCACAGTCAGCATCCTCCACATCATCCCTATGGAAAAGAAATAACATTTGACAGGGTTAACTATATTAATTATCTCATGAAAGAAAAACTAAAGACAAAAAACAATAACAAAAAAATAATAATAACACAAGGAAAAAATCTTTTTTTTTTTTCGGGGGTCAATTTTTTTTTTTTTGAGGTGGGGACAAGATTTCTTTTGGGACAAGTTTTTTGGGACAAGGTCTTATTTTAGTGTGGACAACATTTTGTGGGAAGATAAAGTTTTTTTTTTAAAAAGTTTTCTTTTATTTTTCATAATAACAACCTGCTGATAACAAAAGCAATGGATTTATTTATTTATTTTAATTAAACGTTCACCCAAGGCACAAGGGCTACTCAATATAGAGTTATTGAATGCGGTTGTTGTATGGACATAAGAGGTGGAAGTAAATGCAGACTATAAGGATATGTAGGATAGAGAATTGTTAACCCAAGACTCCTATCTGTACAAATTGCTGAAAGACAGGATTTTATTAGGCTTGCAAATATTTCACTATAAATATTCAATTTTATGTATATCATAGAGATATATTTTAAATAAGCAATACTGCATAAATTTTATATACTGTATATACTCATGTATCATGTGACTTTTGAAAATCCAATTTTGAAGCTAATTTTAAGGGAGTAGCATCATACACAAGATATAAGATTAGCATATGTACTACTGGCCCTGGCTATGCCAGTGACCAAACTATACATCAATTTACTGTAGTCAAAAAGTACAGCTGTATTTAAAATGAACATTGCACATTACATGTGTATATACACTATATATATATATATATATATATATATGTGTGTGTGTGTGTGTGTGTGAGTGTTTGTGTGTGTTATATATATATATATATATTTATAAAAATTTACATAAATAAAAGGTGATCTTAAGTGATCAGTTGTATACAATCACTTTCTAAGATCAATGGTTAAAAATGGCTTTGAGCGAGTGAAGCCTGTGGATTTTGGTGAAGACCAAATTTTTTAGAATCTTGTGGATTGGCACTACGGAACCATAAACAAAGAATTGTCCCAAATAACAAAAGTCACACCAATTGAGGACTTTTAACTAAAGTTGCAGCTAAAATAGATATCACATGTAACTCAAAGAGTTGACATTCCATACTATTTCAAATAAAAGGTGAGTAAGAAAACCCACATAAATACTGAAAACAGTGATAACAGCTACTGAACTTGAGAAACCTATTTTCCTGAAAAATTATTTTAAGAGGAAGTTTTTATAAATTTCAACCAACAGTAGTAGAAGATGCTCGGTAAATGAATGCCCAATGTTTACTTTTAAGGAAATGGCTACCATGACCATTATAGTCAGTAGCATTGAGAATATATATGACTGAATGTATGGAATCTACTTACCCTTGGGTGCTGTTGTCTATATCATCATAGACTTTGACTTCTTCCTGTAAAATAAAACAAACTTTTACTCCATGTCGGTTTCAGAACTATGAAGAGCACAATTGAAATAACAAACTATTTAATTCCAGTGACACTGTTGACAAAAGAGTCATTCCTCCATGATTCTTGACAAATACAAAGGGAAAAATATCACAAATGGAAAGAGAAAGTTTTCAGCTACAAAACTCTATCTTGTCACATGGTTAACATCATTGCTTATGCACTTTACCTTTTGTGAGCATACAGCTGTGCAGAAAGTGGCTTGTCGTATACATAATGGTCACATCTGAAGAATACATTACCTACTGCTTAACTGTGCTCACATCCATTGATTGGTTTCTGCAAATGTTCAGCAAATATAGATGAATATAAATGGATGCAATTTTTCCGCATAGAGAAGTTCAAGAATACGCATTTTTATATGCACTTTCATGTCAGATGCCATTTTGCCAAACTGCCAATCACTTGCTATCTGTAAAGCCAAAAATATGATGGAATATTGAAGGAACGGTTCAACATCCACTTCTATATCATCAATATCCAGCTCTGTTGTTGTGTACCAACATATTAAAATAATAACATAATTTTTAGTGACTTTTCTCTATACAAAAGCCAGTTTGTTATCTTGCAATACACAAAATATATCATACTATATTTTTGTTTATATATCGAAGAATATAGAATGGATACATATTTCATATTTTGTACATAGCTCTTAAATATTTCTGTATGAAATAGTATAATTTATGATGTTAATCTCAACTAGTTTAAATTGTAGCAATGATCACTGGTTTTTAAATAAAAATGTTAATGAAATAATTTATATTTTATTTTAATCATTTCCCTTCAAGCAAGGTAACAGAGTCAGTAACATGCAGGGGTTACTGAGTGTGATAGAATGTAAGAAAAACATTATTAAGGAATTAGGGCAATAAAAGAATAAAATCTAAGATTTGGTTTGGTTTGGTTTATGGCATATCAATCTTAATGGGTTATTTAATGCCAACAAGATTTTTGTTGCTGTTAATATTTTTTTTAAAACTGTATTGATGTTAATATTTTACTTTTTCAAAAATGTACTGCTGGTAATAATGTATTGCTGGTAATAATTTTTTTGTTCAAAAATGTATTGCTAGTATTTTTTTTTTTTACAAAATGTATTTCTGGTAATATTTTTTCCAAGTGTATTGCTATAATTAAAACCTATTTTTACGCTTTCATAGTTTTTTTACCTTATTTTGGGGATTAGCTATTTGCCCATAGCTGGGACCCTAACATGTACTACCATCCTGAGTCAGGGTGGACCTGGGAACACCAGCAATTAGGAAGTGGTTCCATACTCCTCAAAACCTCCTGATCAGAAGCCTTGCTGTTGGATGTAGTTTATTGTCTTACCCAGGACATGAATGTAGTTTATATAAAATCTAAGAGAACAGTAGATAACGATTAACATTGCATTTAAATTCTTAAAGATCAAAGTTGACTGAGAAGCAAGAAGCCAGAAGAGAGTTCCACAGGTAAGAAGTCTGATAGAAGAAACTATTAACATAGAACTTACGGTTACATCTAAAATTCAACTTTAAAATGATGAGACCTTGCCACCAATGTAGCACTGTGCTTAAATTTATAAAGTCTAGGTACCATAGACAAAAGTTCATTAGAACAATTACCAAGAAAGCATTTATAGAAAAGGCAGGGAAGCTATATTATTTACATTATTCAGACTATTGTTCTCATCTTTGTTGCCATATTTATTACAACATTTCAGCCGTTGTACGCACCTGCCTTCTTCTGGTGGTTGGAATGTTGAACTGAAACATGGCACAAGGAACTAGAACAGTCTACCCCAGTGAGTGAAATAAAGGGTTCAATTCGACATAATAATAATGTAAATAATGTACATAATACCTCATCTCAAAAATATAGACAGATATGCAGGGAAGCTATGTTACCATGATGGGAAAGTGACAGAAGATGCCAGGACAAGACCGATGACATTGCAGATTCTTCTTTGGAAGCAATATATAGCAGGAACACCAGACCAAATTTGGCAGCAATATTAACAATAAGGATGAATGATAAACTTATAAATATAAAAGATAGATTCTGATGAGAAAAATTGTCTAGCATGACATAATGAACTAACTTTCCTAGCAGCAGACCTATCAATTGATTCAATATAATCTTCCCACTTCATATTAGCAGAAAACATTAGTCAGAGAAGGTGCAATGAGTCACTCTCTTGAAGGTTAGCATCAGCCATGCTGATGGAAGGTAAAAAGGGCTCTTTCAGACAATTAAAAGAGCAGCTGTCAATTTGACTTTATCAAATCAATCAGACTTACTTACTTAAGAAAGAAGTAAATAATTGTATCATCAGTATAGATACCGAGTTGAGAATTGTCAATATCAGGAAGGCCATAGACAAAAATTAGGAACACCCTAAGTCCAAAGATAGAGTCCTGCCTTAATGCAAAAAGATCTAGAAGAATGGCCATTCAAGAGAAGTAAAACAAATAACAAAATAATAATATTGACAATAAGACTAATTATATTTATTGTATACTAGCAGTAGAGTCCGGTGTTGCCCGGGGATGTAACAGTAAGAGATAGATCAAGTATCGACCATCATAAAGACTGAAAAATAAAATTGACAAAGATTATTGTTTAAGGTTGACAGACACGCATGTCTTAATTATTTTTTTTTTTTTTTTTTACGAATTGGTCAAACCCAAACTCAAACAAAAACATTGTTTTCTATCAGTCTACCGATTGAATAGAATTTTATTATAAACAATTGTCTTGTAAATGGAATTTTTAAAGCATTCTGAATGTAAAAATAAAAAAAAAAAGTGCAAGACAATAAGAAACACTACCTGCCAAAAAAAAGTGAAGTTTTGTTGAAATCGGTTGAAAAATGTAGGAAATCCGATCCCATATATAAATGAACACACTCACACACACACACACACACACACACACACACACACACACACAAAGAACCTGGGTTTTATAATAAGTCTAATTCGATATGAGTTGTCCCGCTTTCATTCTGGCGACAGAATCATGTTTTATGGTGTTTTCAAATTGATTTCATGCAAAAACAATTGTGTTTTTCCAATTTTTTCCACTGTCAGAACCACCGCAAGGTAATTTTACACAGTCCTGTGAAGTTTTGTTGAAATCAGTTGAAAAATGTAGGAAATCCAATCCAATATATAAATGTAGACACAGACACACAATCTGCATTTTATAATAAGTAAGATTGGTAGGCCTTTTGACTAGATGAGAAAGATGTTTAAAATCAGAATTTTCAGTCACATCCGTGTCCTTTCTCAACAAAAGATAAAAAATGAAGTAAGACTTTTGCTGAGAGGGATTTTTTTACATTTGCCTTTATGACAGCAGAATGCCCAAACAGATACTCAATGGTTCGGTTGATCTATGGCACTTGATCATATCATAAATCAAGGAAAAAAACTGTTTAAAAGAGTCTCTTGCAACCTGTCATATAGAAGATCCTGAGTGCAAAACTGATGCTTGTGATCAAAATAAGTGGAGATGTAAAATTCCAAGAACATGCAATGAGTTGGGCAAAAGCCAAGCATGGAACTAGAAAAGGAGAAATCATTTATCCAGAAATCCATCAACTTACATGTGATAAATGTGGTAGAGTATATCACTTCAATACAGGCCTCCTGAGCCACAAGAAAAATCATATTGATAGACCTTTTTTTAACCTGAAAATGTGAGTCATGTTCTTAAATAGCCTTGTCAGATCATAGGGATGTCATGCATGGCACTAAACACATTCAGAAATATCTAAACTGTCAGCTTTTTACAACTGCTTCCTAAGATCAATAGTGAAAAAAGGCTTTGAACGAGTGAAACCTGAGGGTCTTGGCAAAGATCATCCTTCTCGAAACCTTGTGAAGTGGTGCTAAAGAATCAACAAATAAAGGACTGTGCCAAATAACATGGTGTAGTAATGGATAGCAGCTCGGATTGAGGAATTGGAGAGCCGAGGTTGAATTCCAGTCAGCTCCATTACATTCACTTACATGCTAATATCCTTGGGAAGGGTATGAATCCTCTTCTTCTCCCTCCAGATATGGGTAAATAGTAGGACAGACTGGGTTCTATAGCCTTGGATGGAAACTAGTCTACTGCAGGAAGAAATGGCAACCTACTTCAGGAAAAAATCTGACTCATCAGTAATGTAAAGATACATGATCACCTAAGTGCGTATCACACATAGCACATAACTGACTGACCAAATAACAGAAACCACATTATTTGAGGACAAACAGCAACAGGAAAAAATGGATATTACATATAACTTGAAGAGAAGATAACATAATCAAGATGTTGACATTCCACACTACTTCAAATAAAAAGTTAGGATGGAAACCCCCATCAATACTGAAAAGAGTGATAAAAGCTACTGAACTTGGGAAACAATTTTCCTGAAAAATTGTTTTACTATAAAAAATTCTTAATTCTTTATAAATTTCAACTGGTTGTTCAGTCAGTGAATGCCGAATGTTTCCTTACAAGGAAACTGCTAATATTACCATTACCACTTGATAAATTACTATTAGTATTATGCTGGAGATAATTTCACATACTTATGTGCCAGAAAATCCTTCAGTCTTACTCATCACATAAAAACTCATGAGCAATCTGAACAGACTTTACAAATCAGGCCAGGCCCTGTACAAAACAACTTAGTTTGTCAGATCTCTTGCTCTATTCAAGAGTCATTGTCATTCTAATGAGAACTGAAAACATTGATCAAACTTTTTTTAAGGGCCAAACAGAAACCGATACTAATACCATAGGGAAAAACCCCCCGGGGTTTTTAATTCAGGTTGTCCTTCTCCCCGACCATTCCATCGTCCTCATTTGCCCATAGCGGGGAAAAAAAGAATTTTCCTTTAAGGATGATGAAAAATTTAAAGATTACTGGGAAATTTTAACTCAACTCTCGTTCCTCAATCTATGA